TGAAGAAGTGGCTTCTTTACCCTGCTCCTCCTGTCAGGGGAATCCTACTGTCATTTTGGCAAGAAACACTGTAGGATGTGTGTTTCCCAAAGTATGTACAGCAGCTAAGCCCCAGGTAAACTTTATGGGTGAGGAAACTCGCATACACTCTGTTTATAACTGATTTAACAAGCTCTGTCTGATAATTCTGTTGTTTTCAGAAACGTTTGTTAAAATGGGCAGGCAAAAGAACTTAGTTGTGGGTGGTGGGGATTGAGCTCAGTACAGATAAAAATTAAGTGACTTTATGACTCATTGCAAAACATCATCTCCTATTTTGAGTGCACATGACATTGTAAGTAACAATGAAGAAGTAGAAACGTTTCTTTCAGAAATGTATAAATGAATTTACAAAGTTAACGCTTTTGTCCTTTATTCAACCACTGCTTGTTTGCTTCTCCCCAGACAAGATTTACTTTATATTGCTTGTAGGTAATTAAAACAGTTGGAGGTGAGCAGAATTAATTTGATACCTACTTTGCACATGTTTCAAGCAGAAGATAGGAAGAAATATTTGGTGCCTCCTGTGTAAGAGAGCTCGTACACTGTGGAACTACAGTTTGTCACAGATGTTTTAACTATGCCATTCAAAAGAACCTGTCAGATGCTCAGTGGTATTGTGTTGATTTTTGTCTACTTTTTATGCTTGTAGTAAAGTCATAGGCCTGGGTACCATAGTTTAAAAATACTGCACAAGCTGGATCCTAGCAGCAACTAACAATTGCAGTGAACTTTTTTGTGAAACCATTGAGGTAAATGGGGATCATGTAATTGAAAAAATAATTGAGGTTGCTTTCACTTTCCAAAAAGTTTCATGAATAATTTGTTTGTTCTACGGTGGTTTTTTTTGTTTGTGTGGTTGTTTTTTTCTACCCCCCTCCGCCCCCCCCACGTTTAAGGCAAACCCTTGAAAAGCTGTGGGAGGCTTCCTGGTCTTTTTTCAGCCAAAATGTTGACCTTTCCCCCATTGTCAGTCAAAGCAAGGACAGCTTTCCCTTTTTTTGTTACAACTTTTCTTTTGGGAAAACAGCAGGCAATAGCTGCGGTGGGGCAGGGGCTGGCATACACCTGTTAGCCTACACTTCTCGTAGGATTATATTACTCACTGACTAGCAAATTTGACTATAAACGTTGTTTTCTCTAGTGTGCTAATTAACCTGCTCCTAATGATGAGAGCTTTCCTTAACTCAGCAAATTCTGATTTTATTTTTTGCTGTGATAGAATTTGAAGTGTTCCAAACTGTTAATGTATACAGTATGTGTTGGATTACACATGCCTTGTGAAACTTTCATGAGTTGAAGTTAACACCAGGTGTTAAGCAGCATTTGGTAGGATGTTTCCTTATTTTTTCAATTTTTTTAAAGGAAGGAAAAGAAAAAAGCCCAGAGTTCCTATTACACTGTCTGAACAAGCACGGGGATAACAGAAGTACAGTTGCTTGAAAAGTTCCAAAAGTTTCTTGTTGCAGAGAAGCCAAGTGTGTCATCAGTGGACAAAAGGGGGAAGTTTGTGGTTCTGATCATCTAGGGGGAAAAGAAGAAAAGTTATTTAATGATACAGCTTTAAAATACTGCAAAGAAGAGTTGTTTGCTTTAAGCTTATTTCAGTATTTAATATTTTGGTTTGTCTTCATTTTCACAAGGTATGCTCTGACTATATAGTCAAGATAAAATGTGCAGCTACTTTAAGGGCTGCAGGAAAACATTGGCACCTTTCCTAGCAGTGCTCATTTCTTGCAGAAACAAAAAAGAGAAACTTGGAAAACAAGCATGTAGAAACTCGAAATTGTATGAAGAAGTTCCACATTGTTTGACATGAAGTGTAAAGCATGTGGGTTAAGTTGCCCTGTAGCTCACGTTGTCTTATTATGTGACCAGACGGGCTTTCCTGAGGATACAGACAGAACCTGAACTACTGTGAACTATCGTATGAACAAACCAACCCAGGTGAAGGGAGTAGAATGGGCTCAGGCAGACCTGTGGGATAACACTTTCCTTAGTTTCTCACCTGATTTATTCATTTCAGAGCTCAGGCATGGCCTGTGCTGCGGAGGAATCCACGTGGACCCACGTGCACTGCACAGTATCGCAGGTAACCGGCAGAAGGGATGTGTCCTGGTCTGGGGCAGGTACCTGCTGCACACAGAACCGCTGAGATGTGATTGTTGGCCGGGCTGTGGTGAATGTGGTCACTTGCCTTTTGCCAGAGCAAGGTTGCTTTGCCTTTGCTGTTTGTGCAGAGCAGTTTCTCCAGAAATCAAGAGGAGCAAAGAGGAAGCGTTTTCTTGAGTCCTGCTTCCATCGACTACATTCAAAACCCCCCCTTTATCCCCCTTTCTCTCAGTTCTCTCTACAAGTATGTTGCTTACTGTTTGTCTGTCTCTCAACTACTTTAATCTTGTTCTTCCTCCTGTTCACTTAAAGAAGCAGTTGCTTTGAGGATTCTGCTGTCATGTAAGGTAGTCAGTGCCAGACAGCTCTGTTGGTTCTGATTTCTAGCCTAATGTAGGTTTTTTATTATGTTTTTGGAAGCATTTCTACTTTCAGATATTGACAAAAATAACCGGAGCGTAGAACTTAATTTTATATATATAAAACAGTGTGACGTAGAATAGTTGCTTCAGCAAAGGACATTTGTTGGCCGTAGATCAAACACACTTGCTCACAGCTGCAGTTCTAGTCCAAACAGTATAAAAAGACATGTCCTCAAGCAGAGTCAGGTAATCGGAGATAGGAAGAGTGGCCAGGGAACACCATTTCTTAAGAGCTGTATTTCAGCAACATTTTATCAAAGTGAGCCTTGAGCCTGGAATGACATGGTTTCCACACTACTTTTAAAGTAACCTCTATTCCGTGTGTTTTACTTTATGCTGCAAAAGCCCGTGCATGCAGAATTTTTAAGAGTCAGATGATGAAAGAGGGCAACTCTCCTTGGTTACAACAGTGTAACAGTAGGACAGCTTTCTGATGCTACCAAAATAAAGCCTACAAAGAGAATAGTGTTTGCCTAAAGATGCTCTGAGCTGCTTCTAAGGATAACCAGAAAATTATGGTTTAATACTTGTGTAATTCTTCCTAGAAATCTATTTCTTTGCCAAGTCCTTTCTGTTTACCACAGTCTGTTACATATCATGTGTAATGTCTTATCCAAATCCTATTTACTACGGCAAAAAAAAAAGGTGTGGGAAGCAGTATGAGGCAACGGACTGCTGATAGTTGTGTCAGCTCATTGGTGCTGACAATGGTGTCATCTGCTGTACTCAAGTAGGTCTGCGAAAAACGAGAAGTAGATTTTTGAAGCGGTGTGAAGTATTTTAGCCTTCTACCCAAACCACAGCCAGCAGGAGTTCAGTTGTGTGCTCTGCCAGCAGCAGCACTTGGCTGTGCTGCTAGAGACAAGCAGAGTAACCACAGGAAAGGCAATCCTGATTAGTCTAAAGGGCGTTCTCAGTTGCGTGTGAAGATGATGTACTAAGAGATAAAAGCAGAAGCTTACGAACAAGAAAGCCTTTCTTGAATGTCGGTGCCCAAGGGGTGAATACGAGCGTTCCTCGTTTTCAGCCACAATGTCATCTTATTTCTGCATCAACTGGATTCTTCTGATCCTCTTTGCGGGTAACTAAGTGTGCCTAAATGAATAGGAATTGGACGGAGGTAATATTCATCTATGTTTCTGAGGGTTGTAAAGAGGGGTATTTTATGTTACAATGGGAAGAGTGGCCATGAGACACAGGAACTGCAGTTTCGTCTTATGAATAGAGCTTTATCACACTAGCTCAAGAGTTTTCTTGTGGCTTTATCTCATATTTAAAACAAAATCGTGTGAGGGTACGATGATTTTAAAGATGCTGCTTCTTGGGCTGTCTGCCAGTCTTATTAGTGAATAATCTTTTGCATTTTTTTAGATAATGATGACCTGAGATGAGCAGAAAACCCTAAACAGTTTTAGAAAATATGTGAACCAAGGATATTTCACTTTGACATGCTTTGTGAAAGTGAATGGTTAGGAAGACAGGGAGAAGGTCAACTGTGACTTCTGCTTTTTAGCCAATATGAAATTTTACTGGGGCAAATTGATAATTTCTCCTTTTTTTTTATTCTGAGAAAGCAGTACTCCTAGGAGAATATTGTTAAAGACAATAGCACAGAAAACAAAAGGTTGCAGAATGGTGCTAGTATAGGCAGGTAGACATTAAAAATTTGTTGATAGAATATATTGAGTTTCAAGAAAATGTTTATTACAGATGTTATTTTCTCTGGTTCTTTTTAAAGCCTTTCTGGCCTAATCATTATCCCTCACTGCATCAGTCTTGCTGCGATTCACATCTCTCTGTGGGAAAACCTGATCCAGCCATGCCTGTTGGTGTTTGTGAAAAGGGGGTTATCTGGTATCTGGCATGAAAAGCTTCCACTTGCATGCACTGGGCTCAACAGCTGCATTTGTCTCCTTGTCCCCAGGTCCCACGGTGTCGAGATCAATTGTGAAAGGAAAGGTTGGTCAGAACATCACTGTGCCCTGCTCCTACCAAGTCAAGGGGCCAGGAGACATCACATCAATGTGCTGGGGTCGTGGCAGCTGCCCTGCTTCCAAATGTTATCGGACCATTATCTGGACAGATGGATGGAAGGTGACAGAGCAGTACAGCAGCAGGTATATGTTGGAAGGGAACCTGCTAAAGGGCGATGTGTCCCTCACGATCGTGAACGCCAAGGAAGCTGACAGTGGGACGTACTGCTGCCGCGTGGAGATCTCGGGGTGGTTCAATGATCAGACAAGTAACCACGAGGTTGTGATAGAGGCAGGTGAGTGCAGAGGCGCTCTCTCGTGTCAGCACTACTGTGGGAAATCTGCTGATGAGTCTGGATTTCAAAGCTTTTGGTGAAAACTATTTCTGTAAGCATCCGTAGGACTGATCTGTAGGACTTTTGAGATCTACTGTTAGTGCTGTTTAAATTAATCTGTCTTTGGCTTTGTTGTAATTCCAGTGTAATCACTGCAATTAAAAAAAAAGACATGGTGCTTTGTTTCATGGTCCTACTGAGCTTTCTTAGAAGCATTATTTGAAGAACCTAAGAGAAAGGGCAGCACAGGGTAATTAATTCATCTGAAGCATTATGCTTGTACTCCTTTTCATAGAAAACCCTGCTTCATTTTCCCGGCTTGATTCCAGAGCAAAGCCTAGGAACAGAAAATTAGTATAGACCTTTTCTTTTAACCCAACTCTTCCTCTGATTTTTAGTTTCTCTCTTGTTTGTAAAAAGCTTAGTGTATGGAACAAGTGGCTGACGTGTGCTTGTGTAGCTGGTGCTAGCAATTTTTTATTATAGAAACCCTTTTTCTTTTTCATTACATAAATGTACACTAAGGTTAATTATAATGTATATTGGTTTTCTTTTATTTTTTTAACATCAGCTAGGATCTCTACTGCAAGTCCTCACACTTACACCTCTGAACAGACCTCAGGTAACCTTTATCCAAGTATTAATAGCATATATAAGCTATATTGCAAATGGGAATCTTAGGAAGGAAACAAAATTATAGATGATAGAAATATCTTGGCTAAAATTTACTAAACGTTAGCATAGAACCACAGATCACAACTTGAATTTAAATTCTGCCTGACAGTATGTAGAGAATCCAACAGAAGGAACGTGTATATGTGGGAGAAAGTTTGCTTCCAGGTGTTATGCTTTAGATATTGGGGTTTTTTTGCTGCTGTAAGCATTTTTTTTCTTGTGGCTTTTTTTTTTTGGTACATTGTTTTCTTTGTGGTATAAAATCTCACCTCATCTTCCGGAAATACATCCCCTGAACAGTAAAACAGAAGTTTTTAGGAGTTAGGTACACCTACCATTTTAATCAATTTATTTGTTGCTCTGTAACTTAGAACTGTTTCATTGGGCTAACTCAAAAGTGCATCTCATTTGGGATCCTATCTCAGTAGCAGGAAGATCATAGAAATGGGGCAGTAATTTCATGATTCAGCAGCAAAATATTCTTGTACCCTGGCCCAAAGTATTCTTCTGTGCTGACATATACTTTATTCTCTGTTTTTTGAAAGAAAAATCAGGGATGCCATTCGTATTTCTCCCTCCATCTCAGCTATTTCCAGCAAAGCAGCTCTAAAATGTTACAACAGTTGCATTTCCTTTTTGGAAGAAGAAGTGAAAACTTTCTCAGACTGTTTCTGTTCTAGTTGCAAGTAACGCGGCTTTCCATCTTAGAACTCATGGGTTTTCTTAACCCTGTGACGTCTTCCTGAGCTACCAGTGGAACAATTTTTTATATTCTCAGAATACAAGTTATTACGTACATGTTGACACAGAGTAAGACTGGAAGGGGCAGGAGGCCTCTGAGGTAGGAATACTCCAGCATCTCTAGTGGAAGAGAATAGTGGAGCAGATGATTCTGCCCTCTTCAAAATAAAGCTTCTGGGATAAGAGTTACAATTTAAATCGTCAAAGGAACCAGCTGGGGTTGTCATACTGTGAGCAGGAGATTCTGTTTTCAGGAGAGTTGTGTATCATCTGACAACATGTGGAGAAACAGACTGACGATATGGAAGACATAAATTTCTATCTCTGAATTTTAAATATCACAGACAGATTTCCCCTGGGCAATGACCTCAAAATATGCTGCAGATCCTTATACAAACATCACACCTTGGTCAGTTTGTTTATTGTATAACTGTCTGGGACTTTTAAAGTATCACTTACATTCTGTAACTCTGCACCACTTGCTCTTTCAAGGCCCTGAGCTAACCTTAATCAGTTTTCATCAGGTAACCTAAGTTTGCTTTAGGCATCCGCTGCCTCTTTTTGGCTCCAAACCCTACCTTGGTAACTCCTTCCTTCTAGGCCCTGTGTTGAGATAATAGCAGGAGATAAGTGTTTCCTGGAAGGAATTCAAAGCTCTCAGAAGAGCAACAGAGGCTCTAATGCTCAGAGTTTTGTGCTGCTCTCTAAAGGTTCCAACCTCTTTATGGTATGCAGAGCCAAGACTACTGACAAATACTTAAATTCAGTGGTCCCAAGTCAGCAGTAGAAATTCCTCTCTGTCAAGACAGAAAGGTTCTCTGCAAGTGATGTGTTTGTTTTGCCTTTGCTCAGCTCGTGGGAGCACCAACGAAGCATCCTTTGCCATCACAAAGGATGGGAGCACCAACGAATCATCCTTTGCCATCACAAGAACGTGGCCTTCGGTTTCTGCTTCGGAAACTTCACAGACTGTAAGCATCTCTGTTGTGCTCTAGCATGCCTCTGTGGCCAGACACGAGAGGTTATTGGCTCATCCCTACAGTTCACTTGTGCTGCTTTGGTTTGATTGCAAAAGAGTATTACTGTTTCTAGTCTTCACATTTAGTATTTATGAAAGAGAGGGGAAAAAAAATCTGCTTTGTAGACACAAAGTACTTCCTACTAATAGAGGAAGAGCTTTAGCAACACTTTTATTGCCTTGCAGGCCACTGGTCCCAGTTCAAGTGCCTCAGACTACTCAGATGTAACCACAAACGTGCAGGTATGGCGGGAGATGGGGAGGAGTTGAAACTGGACCACCTGACAGCCCAGGGGTGCCCTGCACTCCCCATGCCATGGGGTTCAAACAGCTCTGCATGTGTCCTGCTGAGTCCTCCAGCACATACTGAAGGGTGACAGGCAGTCACATCACCCAAGTTTTTTCAGGAAGACAAGAGAGCCAAGCCAGCCTTTGGGAAGGCCAGCTGTGATGTACTAAAAGGCAGAATGTGCTGTGGGCATTCATGCTGCTTTGAGTGCAGAATGTGAGGCGGGGACCACACTATGCTTCAGCATCTTTCCAGGCCTGAGTTCCTAGTGAGAGGCTAGGGATCTAAGAGCTGGCTTCAGAAAGAGGTTTTGCCTAAATGAAGACCAAAGCAAAGAGAAGGCATATTTACTTAGCAGTATAAAGCCTTGAATAATTACTGAATAAGGTGACAAAAAGGTCAGGGGGTGTGACATCAGGGATATTGCAGCCATAAAAAAATACTTACCAAATGGTATTAAACCTGAAAAGATGGGATTTGTAACAACTTCAGGTCCTTTGACAATCTCTAAAAATGATGTCTTTAACAGCATAGTTCACACAACTGTTGCAGTGATTCTACTTGAAACTAGTCCCGTATCAAATTAGGCTCATGCTTTCACGTGTACTTTTACTGCAGGGTTGCAAAATACACAAATCACCTTTGGGCACTCAGCGGGTTTCCTGCTGTCAGTGCCAATAATGCTCATCTGTTTTGTGTTTGACAGAACATGTCTGTATCACTTCCCCATCAGCAGTATTCAGAAAATGGCCTATACATCGGGATTGGTTTATGTGCAGTGCTTCTATCCATCCTTACTTTAGCTCTGTTCCTCACTAGACGTAAGTATTTCTCACAGGTGATTATTGAACAATAGGTCAGGTACGTCTAATCACAGCTGCTGGCAGATGCCACACGTCTTCTGCTTCAGGGAAGTGAGCTCAGGACTCTGGGTGGCCTCGCCCTGTGCCCCGCACTGTGGTTGCTTGCTCAGCTCTTCCCCCTGGCCTCTGGGGCACAGCAGGGTGCCACTGTGGGCCCATCATTTGATGTCTTGGACTCTGTAGCAACCAGGTGACCCACAGTCTGCTGAGGAGGTGTGTGGTACAAGCCCAGCTCTCCTGCCCCGCTCATTTCTTCCTACTCATTCCTCAGCTGGCATGTTGTCCCAGTTCTTCCCAGTGATAACGGGATGAGCACTGGTTTCACGTACCTGTATCCAATATTCTTCTGTGTGCCAGGCTTTCTGCATTGCAACTGTTGTTCAGACCAAGCCATATCAGTTAGGTCCCATGGAAATAATGGGGACCTTCTATACTGAAAACATTTGATTAAAGTTCCCTTATTTAGCTTTTCTTACGCTTGAATTTTCTTTTTGAACTTGCTACTTTACTTGCTTCTGACAGTTCAAGAAAATTATTTGTTTTCTTTCCTGTTCTCTTTATTTTCATTCTGGATGGTCCTTAGAATACAATGCAAAGAAGACTGGTGACTTTGCAAAGTAAGTATTTCATTTCTGCTTTGTCTAATAGGACAAACTAGGTGGCAGAAAGAAAAAGTCAGTGTGCTGACCCCACCACCATATACTTTGACTGTCCTTTTAAATCTCAAGTTAACAGGAAACATTGCAAAAAGAAATTAATAAACCCTGCTACATACTATTAGTTGGTAAGCAAAAGTGAGTGTAACTGTTAGTTTGTTGCATTAGGGAGCACGCAAACCTCAAGTGTGGGTTGCTTCATAAATGGAAAAATGATTCATTATCAGTCATGTTTAAGTAAGTGAGTTTGCACATTTTACATTTTTCCAGTGAGCTGGTTGTTTTAGTTATCTGCTCTTCTGTGATTTTGTTGTCTGTTTTTTGTATAACAGCATGTTTTTCTCTCTTTGGTGCAGCTTCGTTGCATTTTGGAGGCCAGAAGGTGCAGGGAACCGTAGCGTCCTGGAAGATGAGACCCATGCAGAAGAAAACATCTATGTAATACACTAAGGACTGTGCGCATGCTTGCCTTTGTCATCTCTGGGACATTAAATAGTTTGCAAAATGTTAGCTGCTCCCTCTACTCAGCAGCTAAACGTGACTGGACTACTGAAGCATTATTTGTATCATTCTAATAAAACAAATAAAAGCTACATTTTTAATTAAAACTTTATCAGCCTGTTCCAGAAACAGGAACCCTACTGGCTTGAATTAAATTTTCCAGAATCCACTTATCAAACCCTAAAGAAAGTTATTACCAGTTTCAAATTCTCTCTTCCTTTTTAGAATAAAAGAGGAAGTGCCAGAATGACCACTCCATTACAAAATGAAAACCACACACATTTTTTTAGAAGTTGGGGTTTTTTTCCTGTATATTGTATCTGCCAGCTACAAAAGACTCCATGCCATCAGAGGGCAGAAGCAATCTCACAGTTGCTATGACAAAGATGACACATAGAAACACTTGGTAGTATTAGTATTTCAATATATATTTAGTTGTATTTTCATTGAAGTCAGCTATACCCAGTCCTGGTATCAGCTTATGCGGTAATGCAGTGTGCTAATTCCTGCCCACCTACAGTTAAATCTGGAAGAGCTGCTGATGCTAACCTGTCATGGGATGACCTCGGAGCCTGCAGGATCAGAGCAAAATGTTCACAGCTTGTTTTCAGAGAACCATGACTAAGTGTGTTTTCCACTGCAAAATACGTCACCTTTTTCCTCTGTGACATTCTCCTTGGGTGTGCCTGTGCCCTGAGAAGTCCTCAGGGTGGAAGGTTTCACTTCCAGGCCTTTAAAATAACTGAAAAAAATAAGTATTTTGTAAAGTGAATTAAATTCTTACTTTGTTTAGCTTATGGAAAAGTCATGGACATTGCACAAAATATTGGCTGAAATTTTGCCCTTCGTTTGCACCCCGCTAGATACTAAAAGCCTCTAATGTCTTATGCTGAATTTATTTGATGAATTTTAGCTCATAAATGGGGAGCATCTGTGGCCTAGTGCTTTTCCGCTGTTGCTCCTCATTTAGATCCAGCTCTCAGCTTTTATGCTCTCTAACATTAAACTTTGGTTTACTTAAATAAATGGAGGCAGCCCTTTGAGGATGAATCAACACTTTATGCTTGTTGAGCAATAGACTCAACACACCCAAATCAGCTCTAAGTGGAAGAATAATTTTCCAAACGTTTTTATGAATGCGTTTTTAAACAGAAGCTGGGGACTTGCTGAAAGAGCAGAAAAGTAGAACAGGCAGGAGAAAGACCAACTCGTACCAAATATTTGTCAGTAGAAGTTTTGCCCTGAAGTCCATCCCCAGCAGCAACATGGAATACCTAAAGCAGACATTGCTGCCACGGGGAAGTCTTGCAGATTTACTGCAAACTTGCTATCATTGAGCGCATCACTGTCAAGGGAGTCAGGTGAAGAACAAAGCTGTGTTATCCAATGAGGCGTAAAGGAGCAATAATAAAATCAGTAGGTATTTATGTCAACAGCTGAGACACTTAGGGCCACGATCTAGTTGTGCTTTAAGGGGAGCTGGGGTCAGTGGAGCAGTTACGCATCCTTGCCCCAGCTGGTAGAGACGGGAGGACTTGGACAGACTGGGGAGAGGAGTGCTTTCCCCCAGGAGTCCTGGAGAGCCTGGCTAAGGTGGGAACCTGCAGGTGAGTGTGCTTGCAAAGACTCATGAAGGAGGGACAGGCTCCTCATCCTGTTGAGGAAGGATGAAATGGAGAGCAAGCTGGGACAGGTAACCCTGGTGTGCTTTGTATTTTCGCTTGTGTTGATGCGTTGCCTTAGGGCTGTTGGAGCAGACCGAAAAGGTTGAAGATGTGGAGATGATTTCATGGTTGACTGAAGAGCACATCTATGAGGTGGTTACTGTTCCCGAGGCCAGGAAAGGCACCAGAGGAAACCAGCTCTGCCGTTTTCTGTCACGTGATGCCCTGTGTAAGAAGGTACTGAAACTAAAAAAAAACCTGCTGGTGTTAGCCTGTGCTTTTGTGTTTGACTGTCGGTAACAATTGCTAAACTAAAAAGACTGACCCCACTGCAGACGGTGCTTTCCTTCTGCCTGGCTGAGCGTGTCGCTGCTGTGGGCTCCAGCCCGTGACCGGGGCTGGAGGAAGTTGGGTCTGGTCTCTGAACTTCTGAGCTAGATCTCAGAAAACATCTTCAGCAGTTTCTGCTTTCTGCAACTTGATCTCTACCGGCATCAGAGTTAGATAAGTGTGGGATTTCCAAAATTACCTAATTCTAACCACTTGTACTCTTAAGGAGTTTGAGGACCATCCTTGAAGACTGCAAATCATGAAAACTGCTTGCCCATAAGGATTTTTTTCTTAATATTACAGACTAATTCAAACTAATTGTTATATCAGAGAGCATTCATGCAAAATAAAGTTTAGAATATCTGAAGCAAACCCCTTTCTGCTGTGCAAGTATTTGGTAAACAGGCTTTGCAAACTTTGTGTGAAGCAAGAACTTTGTCTTGTATTTGCAGTATAATACATACAAAACATGCAGGCAGAAGCTTCCTTTACTGTTTCATTACTTCCATGTGTGTCAGTGGATATTGGAATAGGCATTTCAAAATGAGTCTTGGAGATGGGAGGGTGATGCTTGGAGCCTGTTCACCCATTAAGAGATTGTCCAGCTGCACACCAGCTGGCAGGGCATTGGACAGGATAAGGCTAACTAAAGAGCTGCAAACTGATTTTTTTTTTTTGAGATGGCTCTATGCCTTTGCTTTTCTACCTGCAAGAAGCCACTAGGTAGCAGCACAGAAACAGAAAGCAAGCCACATTTTTCTGGTTCTTCCCAGCACACTTGGGTTTTGGGTGGCCTTTTCCAGTTCACTCTGCTGCATTTAGCCCAGTCTTGCTAAAGAAGCAAAGCTGACATGATGCTGTGTCCATCCTCTGCCTTCCCCACTTCACCTGCAACATACTGACCAATTTGTTTTGACAAGCTTCAGGAACACTGATAGCTGTGCAAAGATCTAATTTTGTGCCCCAGGAGGGATTCAGCTGCTCCCTGCATTGGCATCAGCTGGGCATGGGCTCACAGCCACTGCTTAATAGTGAGTGATGAGAGACAAAGGAGAAGCTGGGATTATTGCAGGGAAAAAGTCTCCAGGATGTTGGACACATCAGGTTTCATTTGTTCTGTTCACAGAACAGCTGGGGCTGTGTGTACTTGGCATTGTATGAACAGTACCTGATAGAATATAGCAAATTAGATATTTTGTTGATTGATGGTTAATCTGCCTTATAATGTCGACAACAGGACACTGCTGTATTGTTGTGTTTGTCCCCACTGGTGACTGTTTATGCTGCACTGAAGCACACGAAGACAGAGAACAATATTGTGGCAGCTCTTTGATTAAAAATAAACATAGTAGATCTCCGAGCTTCATGCTGCTTGAATCTGCCACTAAGTTGCCCACAGCAGCATCATCTGGCTATGTGCTGGTGGAAGAAACCAGGCACCCTGGCCTTGCTGGAGCCTAGTCTTTTGGGGATCTACTTTGCCACTGTGGTATAGTAGTGGTGTGATGGAGGAGGATGTTGATAAGAGGTAGCTTCCTACTCCAATGTCCTACTGAAACCAGATCTACAAGCACAAGAGTCCTTCCCTGATGCTGTGTTGGGGAGGATATTGAGCAGCTAACCTCTCTCCAACCTTCCTGTGCCTCTCAGGATTTTGTAGATCTCTTTGTGTTGTCCCTTAGGTTACCTCTTTTCCAGGCTGACTCATCCTGGACCACCCACCTAATCCTCCTGTGGAATCTCTTCCGTGCTTTCCACCATTCTTTCTGCCCTTCCTGGAACACTTTCTGGATCTAACATAGGCTTTGAGGGGATTAGAACTATGCAGTGGTATAATGCTGTCCTTTGTTTTCTATTTCTTTACTAGTAGTAAACATGGGATTTGCTACCAAGAACAAGGCTGATATTTTCATGGGCTTGACCACTCACGATAAGCCCAAAATCTCCTCTCTGAGGGGGTAATGTCTGGTTAAAGCCCATCATTTTATCATTTAAGCTTGGAATTGCTTCTTCCATTTGCACCATGCTACATTTATTTGCACAGAATTTTGTTTGTCTTCACTTCTCCATTCCTGACCTTAATGCCATGAATTACTTTTGCTTTATTACTCATTTTTCCAGAGAACATCCAGAGTATTTCTTTATCAATTTGTCAGAAAGAGTACAAAAAGTGAGAAAGATTAAAAAGTATTTCTTGGAGTTGGTGTTGCAGGTCTTTGGGAAGAAATGTTGTTCTGACAAGAGTACATTTATGAGAGTTTCTTCAAGGCCACTTTTGCAAATACAAAAATATGCGGCTGGTGAAAGAAAAAGGGCTGTTTTCAAGCAGAAGGTAGAATCGGTTAAATGGAGGGATTAGGAAAACCTAAGTGAAGACAAAGTCAGAAGTGGAGACTAAGCCAAATATTTAGGATTACGAGAGCAGAGAGTGGTAACGGGCCCTAAGAGTTCGATGGAAAAGCAAAACAAATAGTGTATTGAAATCTCTGGTGGTAGTGCCATGCTGAGTGTCTTGGAAGAGGGAGAGGAATAGGATAGAATGGAATTGGATAGGATAGAATAGTTCAGCTGGGACCTACAACAATCATCTAGTTCAACTGTTTGCCCCCTGCGCTGACCGAAGCACCTTGTTAAGGGCATTGACCAAACACCTCTTAAACACTGACAGGCTGAGGACATTGACCGCTTCTCTGGGGCTCAAAAGTGCACACACAGCTCAAAGTGAGGCCACACCATTGCTAAACACAGCAGGAGAATCACTTCTTTTGACCGACCACTATCCGGAAGTGTGGGAAGGAAGCAGTTGCAGTACATAAAATCTGGAAAGGGAGAAACGAGAGTTCAGTGAGGCTCACTCAGCCTCTCTGGAAAGTTTTCTCGCCTTTCACTTGCTGCCCCGGAGTCTCCATCAGCTAAAATGCCCCATTTTGTGCTGTTTCTCTGGATTCTGATACAGATCTTTATAGGTGAGTTGTCACCTGTTTTTTGTGTGCTTGCTCAGAAAACAGAGATTTTGTAAAATTAAAACCAGTGACATTTGTTTTGTGAAAACAAAGCAGGGGAAAATGTTATAATTGTATACAGAACTCCAAAAGTTTTCATAGCTTACGGAGTCAATATTGATTGAGATTTTATCTTATTTTTTCTTTTTGAAAATGAATATTGTTTCGTTTGTGTATAGGCTTGGTTAATTCCCCCATCCCCTCAAATGATCTAATTTCTTTAATACTGTAAACTGTTTACAGCTGGCTTTGCTGCTTCATATGTCTCCCCACCACACTAAAGTGATAATACAGCCAGGGCTAGGGAATTCAATTATTGACAGGCTAATGAATGTGTACACATGGTGAAAAAAGGATTTTCTGAAATTCTGAGGGCTGTCTGCTGCTATGATCTGAGTACGGGAATACACAGCTGGCTATACTTTTCCTTTTACTCCTGAATGTTCAGTTCATCCAGCTAAAATCTGAATCCTAAAAGAGGCAGAATTCAAAGAAGAGTAACCTGGGAGACTGGGTCTTGCAAGTGTGGTTGGTATCAGCTACATTTCTGCATAAGCATTTAAGCATCAGCAATGCAGTTTCTAAACTGCAGTGTCTAAACTGTCTGAGGTGGCTCCAGAGCGTGGGTTCATCCTCTTCCAGAGGGGCATGAGTTCCTGATGGGAGTTGTGCTTTTAAATCACTTAGGCATCTCGGGACAACCTCTACCAGGGTGAAATATTACATCTAACATCTACAACAACTGCAATGCTCTTAAATTGATCTGAAAAGTAGTGGAAAATTTTGGTCAGTGGTGAGATCCACTCAGGGGTGAGAGGTGATCCATGCCCTGTTGAGGCAAGGTAACACAACCTCCATGGTGTCTGCTGCACAAGGGAAGGTTCACCAGCACTTTGCTGTAGCCCAGGAAATTCCATAATATTTTTTGTCTTTTGCCAGTCTCAGCAGAAGAAACAGAAGGGCTCTTTCCTGCCGTATCTTCAACCTCAAAATAAATTTGAGGTAATCCTCTCCATTTGGTCTGATTTAAAAAAAAACTTTCTTACATGCAGAGCTACTGAAGGATGCTTTATCTGATTCAGCTCAGTGCTGAGAATGGATAGTCTTGAGACTCAGGAAACCATCAGAGTGGGCAGTTAAATACTTCTATTTATCAGTCATTTTTTTGTACAATTTCATCACTACAGAAGTTTGAAGAAGAAATAAAAATAAGTAAAAACATAGTTGATAGGGGAAAGACTCCAAGTATCTTCTACAAAGAAGGAAAACTATTTCAGGAATAGATCAAGAAGAAAATTTCCTTTTCAACCAGCTATCTGGGCTGGAGGATGTATGTCTCTGACCATCCAATTACCAGTCTATGGGAGAGAAGACCACTACAACAGCAACTATTGGGGCTACTGCTTAATATCAGCTGGTTCAAGAAAGATTATATATAAATATATTTTTATCTGTATGATCTGAACAATTATGATTGCTTCTTTCTATTTTGGAAGGTATATTAAACATCTGGAGTCCATTTCTCTCTCACTTGGATTAAAGACTTGGAGTCAAAGTTACTGCTTTCAGTCAAAGCAACTCAGCCTAGGAGGGTCACTGCCATGGACTAGGGTAGGATTCCTCTCACAGTAAGACTAGGTTGTCACAATATAATAGTCTCAGGAACCTCTTAATTTCAAAGATATGTTTCTTCAGTTGTATTTCCTATTTCTTTCGGAGAATATGTCTGTGGAAGAGGCTGTAACTAAGAAGGAAATTATTTAGTTCTTGCAAAGGTTCCTGCTGTTGAATCAAGGATGTGCTATTGAAGTTTTCCACACCAACCTGCAGTGCAGGCAGATGTTAGCAACATTAGTTTCACATAAATTAAAAGAGGATTTGAAACTGCAAGACCTGTAATTTTCTAGCACCAATATTGGTGGGAAACTGCACTGGAAACACTCTGGTATCTTGTTTCTTCCTTGTTCTTATTTAGTATATTCAGGACTCTGCTTCTTTCAAAGAGAAGAGCAGGCAATTTTTCACTTGTCAGAGAATTGCTTCATGAAGCTGCTTTTGTGCTGTGCAGGACTAGGATGAGATAAGAACAGAAGATGAGCCCATTTCTCCCCAAGAAGCAATGACCTCAGCTCCAGTACCAGTTCCAGCTGGTCTTGGTTTTGCACATATCTTTCTAGTGATGACTTGAAAATACGTATTAACCTGCTCAGTGACTAACCTCCTACTCCCTTAGGAACACTTTCAAGGTCAATTTGAAGAACTATTCTGGTCTGTCATTGCAGACAGAGATTGTTTCCTCTGTTTTGCTGTAACAAGACAAATGAACACACCCTTTCCAAGGACTAAAGCAAGCAACCATTTTGTTTTATCCTTTATTCAGGAATTCATTTTTTGGCACAACCTACTTTCATTTCACTGCAAAAGCTTCTGCCCTTCACACCACATTGCATGTTGTTTTGTCTGTCTTTACTCTTTTAGCATCTGGAGCTGTGGAAACCTGAGTTGGCTTATCTTGCCAATGGGATAAGCAATAATGAAGCTGAAATGTCATCCCAATAACAAGTCATGAGACAGCCTGCCACAGACTAAAACCTCACCTGGGGAATAGTCCATTAAAGACATAACAAAAGAGACATGGACACAGTTGGAAGCACCTGCTATCTGGGAGTCATGCCAAAACGAATAGGCATTGAAACAGCTGGCAAAATAGAAATGTTTGGCAAACCAGGGCCAAAGCTGGTGATAATAGCAGCAACTGCTGTAAGTCCTCTTTGGGGTAGGCAAGCTGGCCCTGAGACATCAGGTCTGTGGGATGATCCTCCTGCTGCAGCAGAGGACCACATCTGGATGCTCCCCAGGTGTCCCAGTTCCTGCTACACCATATGCAAGTGATAAGATGGTGGAAAAAATTATCAAGATAGGAGGACCAACACAAACCAGATCCATTTAAACCAGAAAAGATTTCTTCCTGTGTGAGAACCTTTTCTGTATAGTGCCTTTCATGAAGAAGAAATCCCTCTTAGGGCAATCACGGAAATGCATAGGCAGTTTAAAAGTGTGTAGCAAAGATTCAAACCAGATGCTAAGGTGAGTATGGGCTGTAAACACCAAGTAAAGCTGGTCATTAAGAGTAAGAGCACAAGGAAAACATGCATATACTCAGTATAATGGTAGCAGTTAAAACTTCTATGCACACAGAGCTCTGCAAGATGAGGTAGTTGGCAGGGCTTGCTCAGAAACAGAAACAGTACTGCGCTTTCTGAGAACAGGATCCCACTGCTCCGCCAGCTTATGTCCTAATTTCACACGTGAACAGGTATTGTGGACCCTGCTATTGAGACTGCCAGTGAAAAGCAACTGTGACAGCATCTCCTGTCTGAAGGAGATGGTGGTGGACTGAGGAAACCAGATGTACTTCACACCAGGTTTCTGAACAGCTTTCAAACAGCCTGGCTAGGGCCAAAGCAGGGACCGCTCCAACAGAAAGCCAACATCTGAGGGCTCCTGGCTGTTGCCCATAGTGCCTTGGGTTATTTGCTGCTCCAGGAGAAGGCTTGGGGGATCAGTAACCGTGACCTGTGTGCAGGCAGGGCTGTTTCTTTTCCTGCCTTGTTATGTTCCGTAGGTAGAGTCACACATCAGAGACTGCCAACACTCATCTTTCCTTCTTTTTCCTTGACAGTGCACACCACATCTCAAACTGTCGTTAGAGGAGTAATAGGGCAAACTGTTAAGCTGCCTTGCATCTACCAGGTGAAACGACTTAAGGACATCTCCGACATGTGCTGGGGCAGAGGCCCATGCCCAAATTCGAAGTGCAGTAACAAAATCCTGCACACTACCGGGAGCAGGGTGACGTACAGAAAATCTCAGCGATACAATCTCCAAGGTTATATTTCCTACGGAGATGTGTCTCTCACAATTGGTCAAGTGAAGGCAGAAGATGCGGGTACCTACTGCTGCCGCATAGAGATCCCGGGTTTGTTCAATGACATCAAAAAGACCATGCGGCTGGAGCTGGTCAGAGGTGAGTCTGGGGACCTCCATTATACAGCCAGCAGAGGGAAACCTCCCACTGGATAGAAGCTTAAAACTGGAGTATATGTGTTCTTTTTTTGGTGTTTTGGTTTTTTGGGTAAAAAGTGGGGTTTTTTCCCCAGTTGTGTAATTTTCAAGGGATGTCTGCAACCAGTTGCAAATTTGAATCATCCTCAATAAGCAGTTTTGATGAGTAACTTTTACCCTTTTTTGCCTTTCAAATGAAATTATTAATTTCTCATTATGTAGCTATGTTTGATATTTTAAAAGATTATGAAAGTGCCCGTGAAGTTTTGCTTTTCATTTGGGGTTCACACGAATACCAGACAGGCTTCTGGTTGGTTCATGTCATAAGGAGATCCATCTGTTTAGAAATTTTATCTTGGAGTCCTGAAGGACTTTTTCCCTCTTCCTATTATTTTGCTGAGCTGCAGGATCAAGTAAGGGTCTTACTAGAAGAGGCTGAAAACCACTGCAAAGTGCAGGAAAAAAAGATGGTGCTCCCCTTTCACACTGCAGAATAGCAATGATTTTTCTGACTTTTGCATGGTGTTCAGAGTGCAATTGGTGCTGCTGTACACAGCACTCTCATATGCCTGTTATAAGTGATATAACAGGAGACAGAGGGAAAACAATGATGCACTCCCTTGTCTATCCCTGAGGTTGAGGGCAATAGCATTCATAAAACAGGACTGGTTGAAAAGATTAGCAAGAAGCTTGTAGCTGAAAATAGAGCTACTTTATTTATTTTATTTTTTTATGATGACAATGAAAAACAAAGTTTCAAAGTTTGCAAGTTTCTGGGTTCTACCACACCAGGTTCTTGCCCTTCCTTTTGTGTAAAAGAGGCAAGAAGGAGATGTTTGAGATCTACTTTAAAAAAAAAAAAAAGTCTGTAAATCTGGGAATTGCTCTGTCTGGGGCATGTATTCTGCTATTTAATCAATCTTTTTAAACAGTGACTTTCGCACTTGCTTTCTCAATATTTTAGCAGCTAGATAATTTTCATTCATTTCTGGGTTGGCTTTCCTCAGGATTGTTTGTGAATACCCTGATCTAGCTTTTTTCTATGCTATGTTTTTTCCATGCAGCCCCTCCTGTGATGACAACCACCACAAGAAGGGCTCCTGTTTCCCCCAAACATTTCAGAAAAACAACTTTTGCTCCCCAAGCAACCTCTGATCATCAAACAACAGCAGAGACTGGTGTCCTCCTGACAACCCCTGCCTCCCCCGTAACAACTGCAACCACTGAGTCTCCAGAAGTAACTGCACTGGAGACCACTGCTGTGACAGCAAATGATGTTTTTCCAGAAACAATGGTGACAACCAGTGCTCTCCCAGATTCTTCAACTGGTTTCCAAGCAACTGACATGAGGACTGGAGACTACAATTACATGTTCTACCCATCAGAGTCTGACCCTCTTCCTGGAGATGCAAAGGGTAATGAGCACCAATGCTTTTTTTTCTGTGTAACAGAGATGGTCTGTGTTAGCCCGGCTCTGCACCACAGATACTCTCCAGATACTTTTATCTGTAGCTGGCAAGTTCTCTCTGAGATGCCTGTAGGTATGTCTCAGTAGATTTGAGGAAACGCAGGTCAAATGTTGTGGATGATGCCAAACCAGGCTGAATGGCCAGGGAAGCAGAAGGTAAAGCTTGCATTCAGAGGAGTTTTAATAGCCTGGAGAATGTGACAGATGTGCCAGAAACCTCATGAAGTACAACAGAAATAAACGTGAAGCCCTGCACCTGGGCTGGAGTAAGAGAGATTCACTCATCTATGCTCTGATTTTTTTCTTGATTTAGGAAAGACAGTTGAAATGGTCTGCTGAAAAGGTTAGTTTAGAGCACGCTCTGCTTGAGCAATAAAGTCAATGAGAATTCAAAACATGCTTAAAATTGAATACTTACATTGTCATCCTATATGAAGGCTGTTATTATTATTAATAATATAGGGTTGATCAAAGTGACCTATTACCATCCTAACCATTCCTAGGTTGCTACTTTATCCATATCAGTGACTTCCACAGATTGATGTCTCCACACAAGGCTGGTTTTGTACACTTTTTGTGTCTTCTATCACTTGAAGTTCTTTTTGACCTAAACCTCTGAGTACAGCTTTTCTGTACCATCTCTTGTCTCCAAGCCATAACAACACACCCCAGATAAACTTTGCAGTAATTACTTACATCCTTAGCTGACCAGTTAAAACTTCTAACCACTGGCCATGCTAGTAAAGTACCTCAGTTAGTTGGGTAGGATGAGCTGCAGATACGAAAACAGGTGCAGATTTTCACATTTGAGTTGCAAATGCAGAACTGTGCAAGCAATGTTGAATGCCATATCCTATGCCTTCCTAATCGGTGATCTTTATAAGCATTACTTTTTACTTTTTTTCAGTGACTGCTGAATTCCCAAGCACACTTCTGACTGCAGAGGGAACTAAAAGCGTGAGCACTTCTTTCATGGTGGAAGACCTGCTACCTGCATGTGAGTAGGATAGCGTTGCAAGGTTAGAAGTCCCATGTTCAAAGAAATGAAGAAGTAGTGACTACAAAAGTAGTGACTGCTCTTCAGAGTGTACAAAACATTACTGATAGGTATTCATTGCATCTGGAAGTAATAGGTATGTGGGGCCCACATAGAAATTGAAATCAGGGTGTAACAAAAGCTAAGAAAAAACATGTTTTAAAGCCTCCAAATTAAGTAGATTTTGAGTCACCCACTACTGTTAGGTATGTCATGTCTGAGTGAAGGTCCTTGTCACCATCCAAGCTGAATACTCAGATATCTGATTTCTCATCACTGAGTTCACTGAGCTTCCCATTTTAAATCCTCCCTGAGTGAACCTTGCCAAATATATTCAGCCAGATATGGCTGCAGGCTCAGCTCTCCAGTGTTCCACATGTGTCCTTGGTCAGGATAGAAAGCAGCAGGCAATTATCACAACTATCAGTCATTCCTTCAAGAGAAAAGGAATTGGTATACAAAATCATACTGTATCTGAGAAATGAACAAACTTACATGAAGTTTGCACTTAGTGTCTCTCAGGCAAGTATAAAAGTAGAATGGCTGAAGTTATTCAGGTGTGATAATCTGCCCTCCAGTTGCCCCTAAATGAGGACATAAGAAAAGGAAAGCTAAAATTCAAGGATGACATGTAATATTTGACTATTGAGTCCTTTTCTTTTCAGCTAGTGATAAGAATCTTTTCCTTCTTAAAAACACAATCTTTATATTTTTGCGGGTGTTCTTTTGCTAGACCTAGAGACTTACAGCAGAAGTAGAATTTGGTAAACTCTTCCTTAATGCCCCTGGAGATGGCTCATGGGAGAGATTTGAAGTGGTCCCTTGAGCATTTGTGAGGGTTTCTCTCCCCTGTCACACTTGTCATCTTTCTTATACAGTTCTGAATAATGCCTGTATTCTGCCATTGTAAAGAGGAAGTCTTGCGGAGGGTCTTACCTCTGGGATTCTGGGGGCAATTAAAGTTGTGACTGTGGGCTAGAAAGAGCCACCACAAAAGCAATTACAGCAGAAAGCAAACTGTGCTTATATGAGTCATGTACCCTCCCACCCATGCAAAAACTTGTGTCATGCCATTTCCGAGAGCCAAACTATCATAATGTGTGAAAATGCTGCAGCAGAATTGAGCACAGCCTAGCAAGACCCACCAGCCAAGTTGCTGACCCAGTCTCCATTTTACTTTGTGAAATAATGCACTAAATGGACCAACTTCCATCTTACTACTGTGAGGGAAGGCCGATTTGTCGCTGAACTCTGTAGTGATGTTAACACAATAGCTGGGAGAGAGTCCCATGGTTGAGAGAGCCCTACATCTCCAAGCACAATAGTTGCCAGACAGATTCTGTTAGCTGTCAAGGTTGGTTCCGGCTGACCAGGCTCTGGTTTAGTTTCTCTTCTGCCTTCGCCTGCTTTCCCCCAGCAGCAAGCCTACCAGCACCAACCATGCTTCAGACCCCAAAGAGAACCTTTTGGAAAGGGTTTCCATACTGCTTTCAGATACAGAAAGTTAGTTCCCATCAGCCAGGCTGCAGAAAGTTTATTTTTTTTTCTGCCAGAAAGTTTGGTTTTGGCTTTATGGGGTGTGCATGTCAGAGTGAGATGCACTTGTTGTGTATTTGGGGGTAGTTCTGCTCAACTACAGTTCTCGTCCCTTCTGAGGGAGTGAAAGAAGGGTGTCCTATAATAGGTGTATGGCAAAATGCAACGTTCATGTATTCCTGGGATTTTTAGAACTTGCTAGGATTTTATTACCTATATTTGTTTAGCTGTAGTGCTTATTAACTGTAGTCTCTTTTCTACTCCAGTGCAAATTTCTAGCTACATATGCCTATGAGCTACCTGTGCCCTGTCCATGTCTTTGATAAAATGGAAGCACGTTATCTGGTGCACGGAGACAAATCAACTCAGCTCTCATAGTGTATGGATCAGAACTGAGAAATTTGGGGAAGATTAGGTTATTCACTGAATAATATACTTGGAAAAGTTAAAAAAAAAAATCAGCATTTTTTTTCTAATGTGACCATCTCTTTTTTTTTGTAATGTGACCATCTGATCACCCCCATCACCACGTGACATTCTTGGTGTCTCACGCATGTAGTTTCCTTTGGCTGCGGTCATGGGCACTGCAAACTTGTGACACATACATGCCTTGACAAATGACTCATCTGGTCCCTGGTTCATTTTGCTCAGACAGAGGCTCCATGGTAGGATCACAGGATAACAGCAGAAAGGTTTGTTGCAAGAGTTCTTGAGCATTCATTTAGTTCACCCTACTTCCAAAGCTTGGAAAACTAGACCTGAATTATTCTTAGTATCCCTGGACAGAAGAAAAGAAAAACACGACAAACCAAAAAAAACCCCAAAACAAACAAAAAAACACCCACGATCTTCATGGAGCTTTCTTAAATATGTGGTAAGTTACCTGAACATGAATATGTTTCCTATGGCTTTTGGTATTAATGCAGCATTCAGAAACTGTAATGACACATACGTCTGACCACAACTGAACTGAGACAGTTCCCCCATTTAGACTTGTACCTTGTTTACTATCTCTGCTCTCAATGACATCTTGTCATGCTGACAGAAGTGAAAACTCCTTCACAGCAGACAAGTTTCTACTGTCTTGCTTCATGGGCTGTCCCTGGATGATGAAGACTGACATTTCCCAGTGACTGCCTGATAGATCACTAGTGGTGCAAACAGATTGTTCCCTTTTGGTTGCAAGGTGCTTTATTTCTCCTACTCGGGGTCAGATATTGCCCTCCTCATTCCCTGAGAGTTCATTACTCCTTGACTCAAGCAGTGACAACCACAGTGGCCCTCACACGTTCAGATGACTGTGGCAGTAATAATTTCAATCTCTTATTTTCAGGGATTTCAGCAAGTTCAAATGGCAAGGCTGAGAAACATGATGATATCCGAGACAAGGTAAAACTTCCTCTAAGTTTCAAGCATGTTTAACCAGTAGGAGGACAGCAGGACATGCTAGCGATTTTGAATGTATTCCTACTTAAAGGGGCAGTGTTTGCAAACAGTAGCTGGAACTTTTGCTTAGAAACTCAGGAGCTATCCATTCATCTGCTCGGTGGATAGAGCCAAAGCTGGTGACCATCCCACCTGGCTTGGACACCAGGAAAACCTCATCCCCCTGACACCCTTGTAGGAGAGGCAGGAGTAGCATGCTTGGGGTGTGACCAGGCAAAAAGCAACTTAGGAGGGTTGTTACACTTCCCTGTCTCTGATTAAAAGAAGGATTAAGAGGAGAAGAGGGTGACTAAGCTCCATCTTTAGACCTCATTAAGAAGTTCATGTAAGTGGGATGAATCTAAGCTCAAATAATTCAGAAGAAAATTTATTAAATACTTAGCAGCTAATTCATGTTGTTTATTGAGATCAACCTGATGCGTCTTCCTCATGCCTCACACAGGCATGCTCAGAAAAGCATTGCCAACTTGAGTCAATGCAGATATTTCAGAGACCACAGCCATCAAGGCAACCCACTCCTGCACAAGGAGGTCTGAAGTAAACACACTTCTCAAGCCTTTTCAGGTTTTCTCTTCTCCCTTCTAGATTCCCAGCTATGCCATTCTCATCACCTGTCTCACAGTGGTGCCCATTCTTTTCATACTGATGCTCTCACTGTTTGTGAAACGTAAGTATCCCTAAGCACAGAACAGGTTACTGTTTCTAATGCTGGCCTGGTGCAGATGTCCCCCTGGATCTCTGGCTAATCTGGTAAATCTGCCATGGCCCCTGTGACAGCACTCTCTTCATTTTATGGGGTTTGCTGTCCTTACTCCAGGACTGTGTCACCACAAGAAGACCAGGGAGCATGAGTTGGTGGAGATGCAGCAGGAGGAAGACTGTACACAGAACCTGTTCACTCACTTGTTGCAGGTCTGTTTTAACTTGTTGGCTCTTATTTTATAGTGAAGTGGCCCCATGGTTTCCTGGAATTACTCCTGACAGATACTGATTTAACTTAAATCAGAATGAGAAATTTTCTTTCCTGCTTAGCCCACAGAAATTTTGCAACTCACTGTCTTTGCTTCTGAATTCATTTGGCGGATTCATTAAAATTATAGACTTCTTTTTGCCATTGTGACATTAATATTATTTCACTTCTAGGTAAACACACAAAGAAGCTTATAATAAAAATGTAATCCATTTTGTAATTTCCTATTAAAAGTTCCAATGTAACTTTTCTTAGAGGCAGGACTGCATACCTCACCTAGGCGATAAGGACTCGGGGAACAAGGCGGGACTCTTTTCTGAATCCTATGGTGGTTACCCTACAGCTCTCATTCTAAGAGCTGAACAGTTCTTTCCTATCCTTTAGAAGAATGTAAGGAAGATAGATACTTCTCTGATATAAAAAGTAGGCACTGCACCATTGAAGGCAGTGGATTCAGTAGCTTCTGGTCTCCGTTTCAATGGGAATTTGTTATAAATAAGAAAGGATGTTCTGAAGCAGCAATGTGCTTTTGCCCCATCCTTAGTGATTTATGCTTCTCGCTACAGCCTCAGACTAGTGGAAGACCTTGAAAAAGTTTTCAGTGGCACTGAAGGAGAAAACAGCATTTTTTTCGTGTGAAGAGCTCCAACACCACCTGTAGATGCCATGGAAAATAAAAAGGGCCTGTTTCATGTAGCGCTGAGAGATGCTTACAAGCCCTCAAAGTAGCGATGGATGAAAACCAAAAGGCAAATCTTCGGTGGTGAAAATTTAAAAACTCTGTGCAAATTTTGCCATGTCTCTTTTAAAACCCATTGTATGAAGAAGCATCTTTCAGAAAGTGCTTTATGCATTAGTGATAGGTGTTTCTGGCATCTGCCTTCTTACTAATACCATGTTACAGAACTGAATTTGTTTTTCTCCATTTTTACTAATGCTCTTCCTTGGATACAACTTATACTGCGAGGAACAGAAGAGAGAAGGAATACCATGGAATGCTGCCTAACTTCTAATTGCCAAAAAATAGAAAAAAAATCATCAAATACAGTTCTTATCGCTTTTATATAATCAAGAGAAAAAATAAGCCACAAGAATGCTGTGGGTATAAATAAAAAATGCAGATTACTTGAGGGGTACCAACACTGCCTGTGATTCAGCATGTTTAAATGACCCTTGGAGACTATGTTAATAAACTTTGTAATTTACTGCTAGCAATTGTATTTTTTATGCCACATCCTAAGGCATTTGAACAGAAGTTAGTTATTCCCTAGGTGCTGAAATGACTGCTGTGCTTTCTCAGCTCTCCAAAGCACTGCAGCATTTCCAGAGATGTGAAAATGCCCAGGAGACCCATCTGCAAGGAATTTTTTTCTGTCCTGCCCCCGTCACGATCCCCCATACCACTCATTTGTAAATCCATGTCTTCCCCCATCAGTGTGCGTGGGGGACCCCCAGCTGTTTGTCTGGAGTTGCCTTTTGGTCCTCACAAAAACAACCTGCAAACTCCAGGCAACGACAGCCTAAAGTAAGAGCACATTGTGGGAAGAGTATATCTGATCAGAAGAAAACACTGTGCAGCAGCTCTGGACTTCCCCTCGAGTCATGCCCAGCGCTGTGGTGAGACTTGTTGACTCTACAGCATCTTCTCACAGTGGGAGGCAGGAGAGGTTCCTTTTTGAGGTCCTGGGTTCAGTGCCCTGCTGTGCACCCTGGTCTGGCGGTGCTGTGGGAGGCAGAAGAGAGTCCCTGAGCAGAGGATGTGGCTCGCAGGGGTGGGTTTGCTCAGCTGAGACCTCTGTCTGTCCCACAATGGTTCATGCAGCTGCCACCACCCCAACCCGCAGCGTGTGCTGAGCCTGGGGACCTGGCGCCCGACACTGCTTCTAGGTCTGAATCCCACATAAATCTGCAAGGAATAAAAGTGGGGGAAATCTCCAAACAGAACAGTTCTGATGTACTCCTTTAAGAAAAAAAAAATGCGCCTCCCCCGCCCTGTTTTTTTTCTTCCAAGTAAACCTGCTAATTAAGCAGTATCTTCACTGCAACCTGCAATTGGCAGGGCTGGAACAATCCTTTTGCTCTTATTAATTAACTCTGCACTAATGAGTTCTTTAGAGCAGGGCTGGCTCTTGATGAGGAAGGTTCTAGCATGTTTGCTGTGGTGCTGGCTGGGCTGGAAGGTTGTGCTTTGGGGAGCTGCACAAGGGCAGAAGAAATAGGAGCCAACAAAGTGAGTTTGATCTGATCAGCCATGTGGAAATACAGCCCAGAAATGCTGTAGAGAAGCTGTAAGTGTAACTTATGTTGCTGACGGTTTTTTATTCATCTTTTTGTACACCCCAATTACTGAGGCTGAGGTTTGAGTTGAGGGTGGCAATTGGAAGCAAGGAACCTGGGAGGGTTCTATTTAAATGAAAATACATTGAAGTAATTTCTGAGGTACTGACCCTGGCTGTCAGTCCGTTCAGTGAAAGGTTAAAGGGAGCCTTTTAAAATGTAGCTGGAGGAAAAAGGAATGTTGTTTTCCAAAAGCAACAGAAGCCCCAGAATGCAGTTTCTGGGTCTAGTGAAGAAAAACCTGCATGAAAGCAGCAGGGTTTTTTAGAAAGAAAAGACTGTCAGAAAGTATGTCATTGATATCTGGAAACATTAGTCTTTATTTTTAAAAACCTTTACCTTGGAAGGCAAAGAAGAAGTGCACTTGAGCAGACACAGAGCACTGCAGCCAAAAACAATGCAGCTTAAAACAATACAAAGTGTTTTAGCTGCAAAGCCCTACAGGGCCCCGTGTTTCAGATGGGGAAGACTTTGACACGAGGCACCCTGGCCCTTGGTGGTGCTGCGGGGCTCCTGCAGCTCTGTTGTGGGGTGCGGGTTTCCTGGAGAATTGCTTTGCTACTACTTGTTGCCGCCCGTGGAACTCACTGAAGCAGGTCTCCCTGCAAAGTCTGCCCGTGTGTACCTTCACCCTGCCCTCCTCTACCACCCAGAGAGCTGCCAACGAGCAAAGCCATTGGCTTTAAAACTGCTGTGTGTCTCCTAAAAAATTCCTGTCCCCCACCCACACCTTGCCTGCTGCCACCTTTCGCCCTGCCAGGCGCTAAGACCTGTAACCATCCCCATTCTACACCTCTCCACAGTGCTCTGAGCTGCTGAAGTTATTTCAGTGTTTATGGGCTTGCACTGGGAGCCTGTGGCTAGACCAAAGCGGGATTTAATTTGTTCAGAGTCCATGTCAAGCCTAAATGGTATTATATCTGGGGAGTCTGGGTCTGCCGCATAGAGCAAAATGGTTAATTGAAGAAGGATTTAGCTTTTGGTCCAAGTAATAATTTTAACCGGACCCCAGTACTTTTTGGACGATTGTCTGTATCAAAATGACTGATTAAATTGGTTAAAGGAGGTCTGACGTGAAGAGATAATGACTGAACTACCCGATTAGTATGGAGGAGGTACAGAAAAGCAATTAAAAAACAAGATCTGAATATTTTGGGGGAATGGGATTGGCTAATGAGAAGACAGGAGGAAATACTGAAAAAAAAAAAGGCAAGCGCTGAGTTAGGAATACAAATCCTTTAAAGAGAAACCAGTGGAATGAATTAAATATCATTTTGAGATTAATAAGAGACCTCTCTTAATAGACTTTATTGGAGCTGACTGCTGTGATGGTCCCTTTCCATCTCAGCAGCACATTTCATTATGTATCTAGGTTTGTTTCTTAGCCGTAATGTGCTTTTCTAGGCATTTTTTAAGGTTAATATAAATAAATCTCTGTGTTCCAAAGGTGGAATCTAATTGGAGCTTAAGAAAGAGCAAGCAGAAGGGAAGAATGTGGCTGAGTACATAGGAAATTAGAAATAAGAATAAATAGCATCATGGGACTTGGGGAAAGAACAGAGATAACTGCACAGTGTGAGGTGAATGCATGAAAAAGTGGAAAATTTTCGCCTGGTAGGCAGAGGAAACAGGACGTGTTGCCGCAGCTGTGGCAGCAGATGGCAAAATTGAGCTGCAGAGACAGAGCAGAGAAATGGCAGGAGAAAGCAGAAGAGGCTGTGAAGATGTTGCAGGTTTGCTGCCATGAAGCCAAATAAATGCAGTCTCCTCCAGTCGCGACAGAAGTCCTGGCCAGGGGCTCAGCCCATGGTGGCTCTAAGGCACCCTCTCAGCAGGCTTGGCCTGGGCTCTGGCTTCTGTGGCCTCTACCAACACAATTCCCTACAAGTCTGAGTTACATCCTGGTTTTCTTCTGCTCCTGAGACCATGGTGGCCATACAGTTCTTGAGTTCCTCATCCCACCGAGGTCTCACCCCAGTTGGGAGCAGTGTGGCTTTGGTTTCTCTTGCTAATTTAAAGCATGAAACTCAAGACTCGGAGCTTCCTGCAATCACACCGTGGCGGCAGTGGTCTGGCAAATCATCCCGTAGCCTCTAATCGTCCCGTAGCTCATCTCAGCATCCACTCCCTCCTGCTACCAAGCTCATGACAAAGGGTGGTGGGGCTGAGCGAGGAACACTCCACATGATCACTTTGGGCTGATCAGAGCTAAGAAAAATACTGAGATTAGGGGGCTTCCTACAGAGAACCCTTTGGTAGGAAGGCTCATCTACTTACCTCCTGGCAAGGTCAGCTAAAGACCTCACAGTGGTTTGAAGCTGAGGTGGGAGGCCACAAGGACAATGTGGAAATGGATGAAAATGAGTGTGCAGAAGGTGTTGGAAGGATTAAGGAGGAAGGTGTTGGGAAATCATCTCTGGTGTAAGTTCATCGACATTCTTTACTTTTTCAAGCACCAAACCTTCTCCAAGGGGAAGGGAAATTGTTCACTTCCCAAAATGGCCTTTTATTTTTTTTCTAAGAAGGAAAGAAGATGCATGTTCTACTGCTGTTTCAGAAATGCAGCTTTTTGTAAACAATACATCTAGAAAAAATGAAAAGGTTGTGGGTGTGATTTTTTTTTTCTTTTTTAATACCTAGGAAAAGAGGAGTAGAGCAGGTAATTCAAACCAGGGAATAAGTCCTGTCTATAGTTATGTTTTCTAAACCAAAAAATACTAAGACTTGGCTCTTCTCACTCATGTAGTGGTGTATGCTCTGTAATTCTACTGATGTTGGTGAACCTTGAATCCTTGAAGGTAACCCCTTTTCATGCTTAGATGTACATCTAATGAAGATTCATGGCTTCAAAGTTGCTCTCAAGCACCAGAGCTGGTGTCATGCTTAACTAAGCCATCCACTAGTTAATACACACCACACAATTATCTGCATATTTAACGCAGGGCAGAGAATTTCTATGGAGAAATCTATAGCTTTTAATCCAGTGATGAATCATTTATGGGATTTTGGATTATTCACTTTGCAGTGTATTAAGTTGTCTCTCTTTCACAAAGTGAGACCCCCCTGACATGGTCTGCGTCACAGACCAGGCTGCGCAGTGATGTATGTTGCTGGGATGAATTATTTATTGGACGTTTTAAATCACTAGCCCAGCAGTAGAATTTTAAATTTGTTCATATCCATTCCTAAGTACATAAAAAGGATTTTATGTACATGAAATTCATCTCTCCTTCTTCCTCCCTTTCCCTCCAGTGCACTAGTGAATTATCCATGAAGTTTGGGTTGGGTTAGTTTGAGATGCA